AATTTCAAAATATAAGAAATTTTGCAGTTTTTTTGCAAAAAATTCTGCAAAAATCTGCATTTTCGCAGGTTTTTGCAAATTTGCACTTATTTAATTCTCCTGATGTTGCAAATTGGCTAATATGTAGTTTTCTAAACAAAATTTTGAGATATTAAGAAATTTTAAAATTTTTTTTATTTTTGCTATACAAAAATAATTTATATATTATACCTAATTTTTAAATTTAATTAGTCAATTATTAAGAAGCAATATATAAGTATATTGCAAAAGCATGATACCTATTTAAGCCCTTATATTATATAGTATTTAAATCTAATTTATATTAATTTTTTTTAGTTTGTTGTTTTAATAACAATTTATTATTACAAGTATATTTTACTATTGTTATTAAATTATACAATATTGTATATTTTGAGGTGTAGCGACTTAGTGTAGTGGTCTAGTTATCACTTTTTCCAAGTGGCAGGTCTAGAGTTCAAATTTCATAGATAACAAAATTTGGAAAATAGGCTTGCATTATAGTTGATAGTTATTGATTATTAGTTAAATCTAGAATCAAATCTGCAATCTTGGTCACACATCTAGTAATAGAAGCTTTGGTACAATAAATCCAAGGAACCAGAATAACTGAAAACCCATTTGGAAAGTTTCAAGTTGAGAAATAGTAGTGATCTTTGACAGTATACAGGAAAGCAAAATTTGAACTGGGGCCCAAAATCAGAGAACTAAACAACTAGGTTCTAATAGTGAAGAACATACCACTGAACTGCCAAGTTCTGTTATATCAGAGAAAAAGAATATATGTTCTGAAAGTATATATCAAGTCTTTCAAGCATTTAAAGTCTAGGCAGACCAACCTTTCTGGGTTGCTAGCTAGAATTAAAAAAAATACCGATAAAAAATCCAGGTAAGAAAACAATTCAAATATGGATACTGGGGTTGTTGTGAACCTTAATAAAGACAAAAAGTAAATAACAAGCAACTAATTAGAAAGGTTGTGGTTTGAAATACAGACTGGGTTATGGCAACATTCTAAAAAGGTAGCTTGCTTGAGATACAAACCTGATAATAGCAGCATAACAGGTACTAGTTAGTTGCAGAGGTTTAATGGTTAGCTCTAACCTCAAGTAATTAGATCAAGCTATAGTATAAAGTTACTAAAATCTAGATAAGGTATATAGGTGGAATATGTACCTTAGTAAAATGGTGAGCATAGCTATTTGTAGATTCAGAAAGTTATTCTTTAGCAAGTTAGGGCCCAAAGGGTAAAAAATCTGTTGCTTAATAGTTATACTTGGGCACCTTAGAGCAGCTGAGTAATTGCTTCATCAAACTCAATAAGGCAGTGTTGTCAATTGGACAATTTTGAACAGGTTTTGGACAGTTTTGGACAGGTTTTGAACAGGTTTTAGACAACTTTTTATATGTCCAAAACCCTGTCCAAAACCATTAAAACTGTTAAAATGTGTCCAATTGACAACACTGCAGTAAGGGTACAATAGTCTAAAAACTGCAACACTGCAGGAGTAAGGACCCAGAATATATGTAATATATATACTAGATCTGTACTTAACCTGTTGGTCTCCAACTTAACTACTAAAAATGAATAAATCGAAAATTATATATATATATTGTATATTTAACATTTAATTTATTTTTATATACCTTATTAATTATAGTAATTTATATACAGCATAATAGTATATTTTATTTATTAATTAGAAAACTCTAGTGCTTAACAAAATCAAACAAAAAATTTAACAGGCAAATATTAAATGATTACATACCAACCAATACTATATTCAGTTTTGGTTAATCTGCAATTGTTTGATATTTAATTTAGTTACAAGTATTTGATTGTTAAATTTTTATTTAATTATGCCAAGCTCTAGGGGACTCACAGATATTATGTAATACAGTATCAATGGGGGAGGCAGGATTGGCAAATGACAATGTCATTTAAAATTTTCATAACAAATAATATAGGTATTTGTTATTGTTGTCATTTAAAAATAAGGCAATTACTATTTGAACATGGGGTGTATTAATATTTAGTTATACAAAATAATTAAAAAAACCAATTAACATATCAAATTAAATGCAATATGCAAATCTTTTTTTGTATAACAAAAATAAAGAAAAAACTAAAAATAAGAAAAAAAATTTCTTGCAAAATTTTGGTATAGACTATGATTTATTCTATTTTAAACACTAATGCTAACTTTAATATTAATTAAAATTATTTTTGTTTAGGATATTGCTATTTGCACCATGATAAATACTAATTGCACCATGGATTTGTATAACAGTATATCTTTTTCTATTCGCACCATGTACCTTGACTGTGTCAAAAAGTAATGGATTGTTCTAATTTGTAAAACATTATACTTGAAAAAAGCGATACTTATATCGTTGATAATTTTTATTTGCATTTTTCATTTCAATAATCGAGGCTCACATGTAATTTAGCTAATATTAGATGCTTCTTCAGCATTTGCGAGATTAGAAGGATCTACACTCAATGCCTCAAAAACCGCAAAGTAAGGTGAAGCAATAGCGAATCTGGAATATTCTGTAATCCACGCTGCATGAAGAATACCAAGTGCTTTTCCTTCTTGATCCACAGCACTTGCTCCAGAGTCTCCGGGTTCAAAATCCCCAGGTCTGAATGAAAATACTAACTGTCGATCAAACCATACAGTAGGGTAGCATTGTTGACGTTTTTCCTTGATTTCTTGAACCAATGATGCCTTCATATATCTAATGAAATTATTTTTGTCTGTGATATTACTAGATGATGGGATCTCGCCTTGCTTTTTTGCAAATTTGATGCTTTCATTTATACCAACGGAAATAGCATTGATACAGGGAACCAATTTTCCAAGAGTGAGACCTGTAGTTTTTCCTACTTTAAAAATCTTTAATTCATCAATGTCATCAAACATTTCATATGTATAAAAGCCATTTAGACAAGTATTCTCAGGAAGATTTGCTTTTTTGAAGTACTCTGAGGAAATTGAAAACTTATTTGGACATAACGCACGATTATCGTTCGCAAAAATACAAAATGCAGCATCAACACCAAACTTCTTTCGATGCATTTCAGAAGTGAAGTTGTTTCGTATACCATGTTTATAGTAAGCTAGGGTTGAATTTCGTTTGTCTTCGTCAATTTGAGTATACATGTTTTCAGAGATTTTTTTATATGCTTCGTTTTCACTTGCTAAATCAATAAATGACTGCTTCAATTTATCTAGATCTTCGTGCGAAGGCTGATTGATTATGACATCTGTTTCAGCAAACCAACTGCTAAATCTACATACATGTTCACATGAGAGGATACCTATTTTTGAATCTTTATCATACACAACAGCACCAAGAGTTCCAGACGTTCTTTGCGGCACTGTCACGCCTATGCTCGAACCTAACTTAACATCCTTTTGATAAGCTTGACATGTACTCACACCAGAACCATAGGGAGTTGCGACGCAAGCTTCGACAATATCTACTGGATACCCACGAATCTCATCCGGGAACAAAGTACATCCACGGCGCAAAATTCCCTTCTGACGAACATATAGTATGATGGCAGGGTCTTCGTTAAATTTGCCTTTAGTTCGTTTATAACCAGTGCTCATGCCAACTAGATTATAGTGTGCCTCACGGAAAGATAGCCCCAGTTCATTGTCCAAGGCATCATCGAAAACCTTTTGTAATTTTTGTGGGATCTTTTTCCAGGTTGGTAGATTTGGGCTTTGCGGTGGAATTTCGGCGTTGATAAATCCTTTTTCTTCTGATATGAAACGAATGACTTGGTCTCCCATAACGCTTTTTCGAAATAAAGAGAATTGCGAGTAACCACGTAGACGCACTATCACCAGTGTGAATATTTTTGCCCCAGAATATGTCCACGACGTCATCTTGTACAAAGGTGATTCTCGAGATCATCATTCCAGGGAACTGTTTCGATTTTAAATTGAGATTCCATGGTTTTTTCTTCAGAGATTGTACTGTCTAAGCAAATTCGATTTGAATATCATGGAAAGCAAATTTAAGACTTATATAAATTATAGTGGCTTGCAAATGAGATCAAATTTTTTGTAAATCATAATCGCCTAAATGTGGGATTGCGATATTGCATTTTTTTTTCAACTATAAATAAGTATTTACTTTTTGATTGTCGCATTAAATAAATTAAATTAATGAAAACGATGGATCAACGAATCTACGACACTTCCAAATTCTGTTCCTCCTTTTTCAGAATTTACTACGAACCAACAGAACACTTAGTATAAGTAATAAGGTAATAACGATAATAATTTGTCGACGTTGATAATGATTTTGAAGATCCATAACGATAACGATAATGATAACAATGTAAAAAGAATGAAATTATTTTTTCTAATCAATCAATGAAAAACTTCGATCAATAAACGCAACTCTATGATAAAATAAGGACGTCTGGGCCTCTATCTCTTGTTGATTGGAATGATGAATACCCTTCATCACAAGGTCATTTTTTTATAAAATCTACATAGCTCTATCAAGTTATATAAAATTTTTATTTAGATTTATAAGCCCAATGTAGACTTACATAGTTGGAATTTTTATGTATGACTTAATATAATATTTATATAAATTTTATGTATTATTTA